CCCCACTCCCCTAGAATCACACTTACCCCAATCGTTTTCCCATCATGTTCTGCAAGTAGCGCCTAGCTGAGATTTGGGACAGGAATTTTCTGTATGTGTTGGTGAATATAGCATCTACGTGTCTCTCCATCCTAGAGTAAGTTCAAAGCTACAGCTGTAAAATACATCAGCTACAAGACGGGTATAGCTTTACAACACCAATAAGGCTTTGTTTCTAATGCTGGCCACAGACCTTACAACCATCCTGGACAGGCAGATCGTACTTGCGATAATCGCAAGCCCTCCCTGCTGAGGGTCGGGCTTCCACACACCTTGCGATAATTGTACGATCGCGGGATTTCCTGCGATTATCATACGATTATCGCAAGGTGTGGGCACCTTTACAGGCGTCTATATGAAAGTATATGACGAACGGTGATTATTGTGCCTATATAAGACGCATCAAAAAAAAAGATCACCAAACGCACTCTTGATTCACCAAAAAGTGGATGTAATATAGAGGAAGTGACCAGATTTGAGGTGTGGTTGGTGATCTGGTGATTCCTGTGGTGTTTTTGCTATTTTTTTTGTTGCTCATAGACCAGGGGTGGACAAATTAATATGGAATCCAGGAGCCAGCAGGATTTTTTTTTAGGAGCCAGTTCCATTGCAATAACTAAAGAAAACCTAAAAAGTTAGGCGCCAGCTGTCATTTTTTTTTTTTTTGTTTTTTGTTTTTTGTTTTTTGTTCATTACATTTTTATTGGTATATAAAAGTATAACAATAGGTACCCACTACAAGTGGTAGATCGGCAATCCCATATAGACATCAACATGTTTGCGTTCAGAGCATCAGTATCATCAACAGTATGCAATAAGATATATGTTGGAAATCGATGGAGGCGCGAGCTGTCATTTTTAAGGAGCATTGGCTACCTGGCTCCTGGGATTTGTCCAGCCCCGTTATGAACAGCCCTCAGCCCTTCTTTTGTAAGACAGTAATTAATATGGTATCCAGGAGCCAATCTGCCCAATTCAGGAAACAGCAGGATTTTTTTTAGGAGCCAGTTCCATTGCATCAACTAATGAAAACCTCAAAAGTCAGGTGCCAGCTGCAATTTTTAAGTAGCATTGGCGCCCTGGCGCCTGGGATTTGTCCAACCCTGCTATGGACCTACTCATCTTTTGTAAGATGGTAGTATGGCTTGCAGCACCCTGTACATATCTTCTAACCATATGTCAAATGTGCGATTTAGGCAAATTTAAGGCCCACTTCCATTGACATGAATGGAGGTTGAGAACCGGAAGAGCCGGCCAAATGCAGCATGGAGGATACATTTTGATGCGCTGCAACAAGAAGCAACGCAAATGTGTCCATATTTCTCTTCCGTTCATTGAAGGACACAGGGAACAGATCGTAGATCATGCACCGTAGGGTAATGATCTACAATCTGTTCCGTGTCCTTCAATGAACGGAGAGAAAAGGATTTTACGGTGAGTACAAAAATCCTATTTTTATGTATGTACTACACTGTTAGCTGTCCACCTTAAAATTACTACCAATCGTTGCTAGATGGTCATGGACCTTTAAAAACATGATTGAACCGCCTGTTCTTGCTGGCAAAAAAAAACCTTTACCACTCACCTTTTTTCTGAGAGTCCTCGAATAAATCCCCGCTCCTCATCAAGCGACCAGTCTTCATTCTGCATGGGATCTCTTTCCAGCATTGGTAGATTAACATTCCTCCTGGATCTAGGTGACTGGCCAGGACTGCAGAACAGAACACAACACAAATGAAAGAATTTCCAATGGACAATAAGTTATACATTATAGAGAATTTGAATGTCCTGCCTAAAGGTTTTTTATTGGAATTTTATTGTTTTGAAATTGTGCCATACAACACTGTCCATGAGGCAACACAAAAATATGCAGATACTGGGCAGATATCGAGGATTACATAGACTGATTCTTAGATAACAGAAAAAAAGGGCATAAAAAACCCTACACCCCAAATTAGTGAAAGTAGGTCTCTTTGCACCACATGAATATTTCAAGTAGGAAGGATTATACACAGTGCATGGAGCAAGGCCCCAACTGACAACATCCCCGGTTACATTAAGTCAAGCATCATATCCAAATCAGGCAAGTCCAGCAGTAAAGCAAACCGGAAGCCAAAGTGCCCCACTGCCAAGGATACATTACAAGATAATCTTGGGTATAAGCAGTGCCATGTGAAGAAAGCAGAACGTGCTGTGGAGGGGATGCTAAATCTGAGGAGGTGACCAGTGCCATCCTGTTTCGACATGATGGGGGCTGAGCCCTGTACAGGAGGGCTGCCTATATTCCTCTATCAGTGGCCCTGCCCATGTCCCTTCCGGGTTTAGAGGAGGTCAGGTCTGAACCTAAGCTCATCCCTAGTAACTATATAAGTTTCGAATGCATCCCGCTAAATCCGCAAAAAAGTTTGCCTGGATTTAGGTTTTAATAAGAAATCTAACTGCTCTGCACACTGATGGAAAGAAGTAAACCATACCTGAACCACACTAAAGCTGACCTATAGATTTACTGTGGTCAGATGGAAAAAGTGCAACAGATTCCTCCATCTACGCTAAACTTTGTGGATGGAGGAATCTCCCGCTGGGCCAAGCTTCAGTATCTTGCTAGTCGGCCCCGCTGGCACTCAAAACACCTGAACAATGCTGCATCCAATCAGATTGTTCAGGTATAGACATAAACATTTTCCATTAACTAGTCTCATAACAATTTCTACCTACCACATATCTGCTGTGTGTTCTGTCAAACTACCCCCCTCCCATGTCTATGGCTAGCCAAGGCTTCTGTAATACGTCAATAGCCAACTATCTACAATGAAAAGCCTTGGTTTAATGGCATTATCTTCATGAAGAACATAACAATTCATCCTTCATAGTTACATAGTATTTGAGGTTGAATAAAGACATAAGTCCATCAAGTCCAACCTATTGTGTGTGTGTGTATAGGTCCCTGAGTGTTCTCATTCTTAAGAGTACCTGTACCCTTGTACATTACGGTCTCTCAGGAAATCGTCCAAAAGCTTCTTGAATGATTCCAGACTATTTGCGGAAATTACTGCTTGAGGCAGCGAGTTCCAGACCCTGACCGCGCAGACTGAGAAGAACCCCCTTCGCCCCTTGTGTTTGAATTTGTTTTCAACCAGTTTTAGGTGGTGTCCTCTAGTCTTTGTTATGGAATTAATCTTAAAGAGTTTGTTGCTAATGTTGCTATGACTATGGAACATTTTGTACATGAAAATCATATCCCCCCTTAATCTCCTTACTTCCAATGTAAACATGTTTAAATTTAGTAGCCGTGTCTCATAGTTCTGGTCCTCCATCCCCTTGATGAGTTTGGTCGCCCTCCGCTGGACTTTCTCCAGCTCAAGGACATCATTTCTGTGTACCGGTGCCCAAAACTGCACCGCATACTCCAGGTGAGGCCAAACCATTGATGTGTAGAGTGGCAAAATTATAGACTTGTCCCTGCAAAACATTCCCTTCTTGATGCAGGACAGGATTCTACTAGCTTTGCTTACAGCAGCCTGGCACTGTAATCTATTATTCAGTTTATGGTTTACAATGACCCCCAAATCTTTCTCCATTTCCAACTTCCCTAGCGGCATACCAATAATTGTATAACCCATTTGCCTATTCTTAATCCCAAAGTGCATAACTTGGCATTTATCGACATTAAACCTCATCTGCCACATAGTTGCCCACTCCCCTATTTTGTCCAGGTCCTCCTGCAATGTTACACTATCTTGGTCTGTTTCTATTACCCTCCCAATTTTGGTATCATCAGCAAACACTGAGATCTCGCTGTTTACTCCGTCCCCGATGTCGTTAATAAACAGGTTGAAAAGCATGGGGCCCAGCACAGAACCCTGAGACATAATAATCTTTCAAAGGTGTATTACTGGTAGCCGACCATCAAGGTATCCATCTCTGACTGGTTGTTCCTATGATACAGAAGAGCTCGGGCTGCAAATCACAATGTAATTACAATGGCAGCACCGCTTCAAGCTGTGGATGACCCAATAGTTCTTGATGATCCCTACACAAACTGTGAAGGGGATTCATATAACCCTGGCGAGACCTTAGCAGTTAGCTGCACACAATATACTTTCAAGGGCTCGCCCTTTGTGTAGTGGGTGTGGTATAAATCTCAGATGATGGAGATGATGAAAGGTAGACGTAGTGGGTACAAAAATATATTGGAGAAGAATAAAGGGAAAAAAAGTGAGGAGAGGGTCACTCCTCCCGAGAGTTCACTTATGTCAGAGACCGTTATCAAAGACAAGCTAGAGAGAGTGCTCCATGTGTGATGCTGTGGAGTAATTGAGTTTTCTGTTCTGTGCAATCCAATGTTCACCTCTACTCCCATCCACTTCCATACTTTTCTGGTTATAATCTCAGTTTTACTTCTTACAGTTGATTTCACTTTTTTTTTTGCAATAAAAAATTAAATTCCACATATTAAAGCGTAAAGCTGGCTAGACACCACCAGAAATGTGTTAAAAAAAAAAAAACGTTTGTAACGTCTGTTCAATTTTCTAATAGTAAATGGGGCCAAAGTGGAGATCGTTTTCAAACATAATAATGAGAAAAATTAAGTCGCAAAATAATAAACCTAGTGGTTAGCGCTTCTGCCTTGCAGTACTGGGGGTCCCTGATTCCAATCCCGACCAGGTCACTCACTAACTGCAAGGAATTTGCATTTTCTCTTTGTGCTTCTGTGGGTCTCCTCCAGGTACTCTGGTTTCCTCCCACACTCCAAAGACATGCTAGAAGGTTGACTGGCTCCTGTCTAAATTGGCCCCGTATGTGTGTATGCATGTGAGATAGGGACATTAGATTGTAAGCTCCTTGAGGGCAGGGACTGTTGTGAATGTGTCACTATGTGAAGCATTGCGTAAATTGTCCTCTGAGGGTCCACAGAAGAGGGCGTTAGCATGGAGAGCAGGAGCAGACTGGGGAATGTCTGTTCCCTGATCTGTTATCAATGAAGAAGGGATCACTGTGCTCTTAGCGCTTCCTGTCAGAAGCCGGCTGAAGTGCCAGGTGAACAGAAGATGAAGCACAATCCTGTGCTTCATCATCTGTATTGCCGGGCAGCAGAGACATCAGGGATCTATTAGAGAACCATAAAGAGAACCTATCACCTACAAATGCTGTCACATATGGGGCTTGTTAAGTTAAAAAAAAATTTAAAAGGTGATAAAACAATAAGGCCTCATTCATACGAGAAAAGGCCGGCACATACAGCTCCATGCTGCGTGCACGGCCTTATCGGACAGCTCCTGGGAAAGACAGGTGCTGCGTGTGATTAGTACGCAGCCCCTGTCCTTCTCTATGGGAGAATGCGGCCGTACACTACCCTACGCACACCTCAAGTGGAGGTCCGTGCGGGTGTCCCGGCTCGGACGCAGACAGGATCCATCCTGTCAGCGTACGAGTATGCCCACCCGCACGGACGTGCAGGGCGGGTGAGCGTAGGGCGGCGTACGGCCGCATTCTCCCATAGTGTCCTGTGCTCGCCTGTTGCCATGGCGAGCACAGGACACCATTGGCAACAGGGGCGCCATGCAGCCAAACACAGCCGTGGCTCGGCATGGAGAAAATCTCTTTTTCTATTTCAAAAGGGAAATGTCAGGGGTCCGTTTAGACCTCTGATATTTCCCTGAAGCCCCCCAAAAAGTAAAAAAAAAATAATAATAAAAAATACACAAAAACAGCATAAAACACACACAAACACACTCATGCACACATATTCCTAGACATGTGCAAAGATTAAAAATGTGTTTCGGAACTAACAGAAACTAAAAATGTTTTCATTAGTTTCGTCAAACGAAACACATTTTTATGCTATTTTGGATTTGACCGCCACCGCATTCTGCACATGCGTGCCAGCATCCTGGAGACGGGGCGCATGACGCCACATACTGCATACGTCTGTTGGAGGGCATCATTTTCTGTTTTTGCCTCGGGCGCAAAAGGAGCTAGCTACGGCTCTGGTAAGGTGGGTCCTGCCCCCGAGGGCTTACAATCTAACAGGGAGGGAGAAGTGATACATGAGGAGGTAGCTTTGAGAGGATGAATTGTTTTAGAACGTGATGGACACCAGCTTAACATGCAGGCGTTGGCACATCAGCCTATAGTCAAAATCGCATGTGAGCAGCCTAGGGTGACAATGTTGCTCCTTCATAGATACAGTAAAATTAGCACTGTCACCCTAGGACAGAGAATGGGCTAGTAAGTCTGAGCCGCTCAGTTGCTGACTACTGCATGTCCCCTTGTATTTGTGGTCACTATTACTGAATCTCGTGAGTCCATTCCCCAAGGGATTGCCCTTTTGCAATATACCTAAAGCCTTCATGAAGAGGGTCTGTGTTTGCCCATGAAACGTTTTAGCACTTTGGTGCTTTTATTGTTACCAATAAAAACTCCTTTGCACTCTTCTTCGTTTGGTGATGCCTCCATTTTTACTAGCAGGATCACCAGGGAAAATAAAAGACGGAAGATATAACACTAATGCATCCACCACAACTAAGGATTGGTACGTTGCAATATATTTTTTATCTTGGGTATAGATACACTGTACGGTAGCATGCAGAGCACCTCAAAAAAAATAATTTCCTGCATCACTTCCCATGGCTTGGTATAATACACAAAGCAAACACAATCTAACGTGCACAAACACCATTCAATATGCAATAATGACATACCTGTAATCTGGATGAAGAATGTAGCAGTGTATGCATAAGGCAAGGTGCAATAATAGAAGGCAAAGGGATCTGTGCATCATCCTGAAAGACAAGAGTAAAAATATGCCAGTTATCCCGCCAACAATGTAGAATCCTAATTACTTATCATATACCTTCAATGAGCAGAGAAATGACTAGAAAAGTCCTGACAAAGAACTATTTATGCATAGCTGTCAACTGTCCCTTATATTGACCTCAGTCCCAAAGTTGCTGTGTCCTGGGCAATGTCCCGGGAACGCAGTGTCACCCTTATTTGAGTGACTACATGACTAGGGTGATCAGCGGCTACGAGTAGGAGGTCCTCACATTAGGGGTTGGGTTTGAGTGGCCTCTCCAGTAAGTAGGCGGGGTCTGAGCAGGCCTGAGGCGGAATGTGGGTGGTGTTAAATGCGTCCTAGGGACCAGGACTGAAATGTTGGAAAGTATTCTCATATCATTACATCACTTTTGTGACATCCGTGTCCATTCAGTTATTTCCTCCACCTTGTGATGGAGGAAAAAAACGGAGCCATGTTATGTCTATTGGCAGGCAGATGGAAGCGGACGTGCTTCTATTTACTTCTGATCTGTCACGTTTCGGTCTAGTCAGACCTGATTGGAAGCTTAATTATAGTCTATGGGCTGGCAGATGTAAATGCACCTGGGTCCATTTACCTCTAGGTCCAAAAAAAAAATTAATGGAAAAGAGTTCCATTTATTTGGATCTAAATGTGACGGATCGGAGGTAAAAGGATGTAAACAGACGCACGTCCATTTACATCCGCATGCCCATGGACCTAACAATAGGTCTGTTCTTTTTTTAAATACGGTTTTCTTTTCCAGACCTAGATGGGCTCAGAGGTAATCAGATGTAAATGGACGCACATCTGTTTAATCTGCCTGCCAATAGACTAACATTGAGCTTCTGATCAGGTCCACCCAAAAAGCTGACAAGTGAATCTGATTGCAAACGCTGTGTGAAAGGGGCATTAGATTTTCCCATCACTTTTTCTTCCGGGAGGGTGGACTGTTACCATACCTCCTGACTTTTTGAGATAAGAAAGAGGGACACCTTCCAGAACAATGTATTTAAGTAATATATATATAGGCAAATGACACCCCCTGCCATGCCCCCAGTTATATATATATAGGCAATGGACACACCCTGTGCCATGCCCCCAGTTATATATATAGGCAATGGACACACCCCGTGCCATGCCCCCAGTTATATATAGGCAATGGACACACCCCGTGCCATGCCCCCAGTTATATATATAGACAATGGACCAACCCCTTGCCATGCCCCTGCAGACATCTCCTGGCCAGCTCGCATTGGGTAAATAACAGCCAGGAATTTTTGATATGGTAGAGAGGTAAGCAATGGTAGCCTCTAGGGATGGCCGGTACCCGTTTTTTGTATCGAGTACGAGTACCGATATTTTTTTTTCAGACCCGCCTCCCAGCTTCCTGATTGGCTAGGAAGCCAGCCTCACTTGTTGCTGTGAAGCCGGGCTGCCTACCAACAAGTAGGCTGGCTTTCTAGCCAATCAGGAATCCGGGTGGCACGTCATAACCTGACACTCTGATTGGCTAGGAAGCCGGCTTCACTTGTTCCTAGGCAGCCTGGCTTCCTATCCAATCAGGAAGCCGGCCTTACTTGTTGCTGTGCAGCGTAGCCTCCTGACCAATCAGGAAACCAGGACGCGAGTCATTACGTGCCGCCTGGCTAGGAAGCCAGGCTGCCTAGCAACAAGTGTAGCCGGCATCCAAGCCAATCAGGAAGCCGGTAGACAGGTCATAACCCACCTCCCGGCTTCCTGATTGGAAAGGAAGCCGGCTCCATGCTCCCCCGGCACTGCCGGTCAGAGGGAGTATCAGAGCGAGTACAAGTACTTGCCCAAATACTTGGTATTGGTACTGGTATCTGTATCGGTGCATCCCTAGTAGCCACCATTGTTCCTCAATATTGGTTTCGTTTTAGAACACAAAAATGGTGACCACACACCTTCATAGTGTCAGTTATAGAGCTAATGCAATGTCACATGAAGGCCCGGTCATTTAAAGCTAAAATCCAGAATAAATCTTGTTACCGGTCCTTGTGCTCAGCTCAACTCCACGTCAGTCCTCTATAGCCCAGGAGGACCCCAACAGTTTGAAGCATCCACTACACCCTGGCAGTGACACTCTGCAGTCTAGCAGAGAGAAGACATTGGACCCACCATGTCATGTGACCATGAGGAATTTTACCCACCAATTTAATGGTCTCTAAAAACAGTTTTTTCAATGCATGCCACCTGTGAAGGTTGCCAGTGTGCTTATTTCAGCTCTCAACCAAATGTCCAAGCCCTCAAATAGAGTCTAAGATGGCACCCTCAAATAGAGGCTAAGATGGCGCCCTCAAATGGAGGCTAAGAGGTTGTAAACATTTTCACAGGTTTTAGGTCACACTGTCTTTTTTTGTTAAACCCTCTTTTTTCAAACTATCCAACTAAAAACAATTCCACTGACGTGTCCTACATGTGCTGATAAGGAACATGCTGATAGGAAGAGAGAGCAGAGTGATGAGTTCATCAGCCTGTTACCGCTCCTTCCTTAGCCAATCACAGGCTATGGGGCAGGGAAGTGACCTAGCTGCGTTACTGTGTTAGTTGACTGAGGAAAGTCAGGTCACCCGGCTGGCAGTGTGCTGTGCTGTCTAGCAGGGCTAGGTTAGGCTGGTGCAGGGCTTGGAAACTCCGGCCCTCCAGCTGCGCTTTAACTACAAATCCCAACATGGCTCTGCCTCTGAGAGTCATGCCTGTAACTGTCAGTCTTGCAATGCCTCATGGGACATGTATTTCCACAACGCCTGGAGGGCCGGAGTTGCCAACCCCAGGGATAGGGCTACACAGGGGGTTTTTCATCTCTTTTTCGTGCTACTGCAGGAGATTGTTGGGCCGTTGTTAGGAGACCTAAATGGGAATTTCCTGAATGAGTGGTTGTTAAGCAATTCATCTCCCGTTCTCATTCAAGCTGATAAAGGAGATTGCAGCATTTTGGAATCATGGGAGATCAATCGCGCTACTGAAAATGATGTAGCATGGAAAGTAAGGGGACACCAATAAAGAGGTGGATTGCATGAGATTTTTGTAATGCCATTGAGAATGACAACTGGTGCTGGTGCACTAGCCGGGTATTAGGATACCCGGCTAGTGACTGCAGCTGATTTCAGCAGGAAGTAGCCAAACATATATCGAATTTTAAGCTGATTTGCCAGGAAGTAGCCAAAACTCAACCTCTGTAAGCCCAGCGTATCTGTGTCCAAATTAATAATAAGGTACTGTCCCTATAAGACAGCCTGAGGCGGTTGCCTCAGGCGGCATCTCATTGAGGGGCGGCCCACAACATCGCAGGTTGCTAAGAGCTATTAGCAACCTGTGCCACTCTGTGCAGTTTTCCACTCAACTCACTGGCTTGTGTCCCCCCGAGCTCCTGGCAACCAGTCATGTCAGAGAGCTGCGTGGGACGCTGGACAGAGGTGCTAATATTTTGGAATGAATGAAGTTTTCTGAATGAAAAACCACATTCACTGTTAGTCCCCATTCACACCTAGACGTTTTGTCACTCGACTCTAAGCACGACAAAGCGCCCAAGACAAGGAATCCCATTCATTTCAACTCTCAGGTCTGAACAGGGACCCATAGCAGTGAATGGGATTCCTCGTCTTGAGCGTTTTGTCGCGCTTAGCTTTGAGCAACAAAACGCTTAGGTGTGAATTCAATTTTTTTCCTTCATTGCAGTTGTAAAGGATCTTCAATTTGATCCCATTAACTATTAGAAAACGGAACGAATGTTCGGAAAATTAATTATTTCAAATGAAGTTCTACTGGAGTATGGCCAGCTCATAGTACAAAGAACAAGCCTACGTGGGAGTGGTCCCATTTCTCACTGCAGACTTTCATGTACAGGTGAAACTCAAATAATTAGAATATCGTGCAAAAGTAATTGCAGTAAGTGCTGCAAAAGGGGCCCAAACCAAGTACTGAGTACATATGCAGCTTGTACTTTTCAGAGGTCCGATATTGTTCTATGTACAATCCTTGTTTTATTGATTGCATGTAATAATCTACTTTTTTGAGGTTGTGGATTTGGTGTTCTTGGGGTTTTCATGAGCTGTAAGCCATAATCATCACAATTATGACAAATCACGGCTTGAATTATCTTGCTTTGCATGTAATGAGTCTATCTCATATATTAGTTTCATCTTTTAAGTTGCATTAGTGAAATAAATGAACTTTGCACGATATTATAATTAATCGAGTTTCACCTGTACATGGACCCCTTTCAATGCTTTCTAAATTACTGATCTGTAAGGGCTCATTCAGATGGGCGTGCCCCTCCATAAAAAGGCCCAATACCGGAAGGGACAGCTGCAGCGTGTTTGGGTTCGGGTGTACGTGTGACCGCGCCTAACTGCATGCACCCGTGTGCTCCTATAGGGAATTATCCCATGCGCAATTAAACACAGCACCTTTCCCTTTCAGGATGGAGTCTTTGTTATGGGCATGCACTCCATACAGACATGCACACCGGTCTGAATGAGCCCTAACAAGTATGCATCGAATTAAATCACAATTCCTGATCCGCACACATGTGCCAGATCAGTAACTCAAAAAGGATTAAAGACACTAGATCAGCATGACAGCCAGGCAAGAAATATTGTTCAGAAGCTGATGGCTGACAACAGCCTGCATACGCCTGACCTGACAAAATCTCACCATAGTACAGCACTGGGTTCCATCTGGAAGGTCAGAGCCAAAAATGACCAGGACGTCACTACCAATAAAGACTTTTGTCAGGTTGCCGAAAACTCACCTAGCTCAGTGGCTCCGTTATTATTACCCAGAAGCAGCTGCTGAGCAAATGTCAAAATGAAAACTAAACATGAGATATATATATATATATATATATATTGTGGCATTGTGAGGCAAACATTCAAAAAAAATTATTATTTATTCATGAATTCATTTTTTTGCATGTCTACCGGTATTTATATCTCTATTATTATTATTTTTGCGTGTCCACCTGTCATTTTGACACGTGCAGCTTAGCGGTTAGCACTAGGGATCCCCAGTTTGAATCCCAGTAAGGACACTGCATGGAGTTTGCATGCTCTCCCTGTGTTTCCATGGGGGTACTCGTGTTTCTAGCCAGACTCCAAAGAAGACATGCAGGTAAGTTAATTGGCTCCTGTCTGAATTGGCTCCTAGTATGTGTATGTGTATGTGAGATAGGGAACTTAGATTGTAAGCACCTTGAGGACAGGGACCGGTGTGAACGTACAGTATGTAAAGCACTGCATACATTGTCGGCACTATATAAATACCTCCAATAATAAATATATATCAGTATAAAGTGTGGCTTTTACTTACATCCTCAGCAGCTCCGATCTTCTCTCTTCCTCTCTTTAGATTTCCAATGCTCAGTAATTTCCCGCACTAGGACTGTGAGATGGTAGTTGTGTCGTGAAGTTAAAGCCCACATTCTTATATACCTGAAGTCCCTGAGTGGGAGGAGAACGGGGTGCTGGGGAGACACGGATCAAACAGAAGGGGTGACGTCTGCATGGCTATTATCCACTTTCACACACATCTCTGTCCGACCTGATGTGACAGCGAAGAGCTCGGCGTGCTCAATAACCCACCGGCACACACTCGTATTATTATATCAGATGGAGTATTCACCATCAAAGTCAAAGCACTTCTTAACACTTTACACTGCACGGTGCACAGAAAGTATTACAATGTGACTTCCACATGCCGACAATTGTATGTTAGATTTCTAATCAGTGAACGCATTATTAATCACCTCTTTAATCCAGTGCAATATAATACCAACAATGCCATAACAATTACATTATTATTAATATTATGAGGCTGAAGTGCAATTGCAGCCAAAACTTGTTTTAGTTTTGGATAGAGTGGTGGTGGGGGGGGGGGGGGAATGAGATCACCTGTCAGGTTTTTATGGCTGTCTGTGTCCCAGTTAGGGAGATTCACCCTCCCCAATTTGTCTTGGTGACCATTATCAGTGAAAGTGAAATATTTTGGATTGTCCTCTTCTAAAGGGGAAATTATTTCTGGTGACCAAGAAGGATTTCCCTCACTTTGAAGGGGTATCCTCTTACTTCTTGTTGTGGTTGTCGGACAGGAAGTAAGGAGAAATCTCCCCAATGGCAAAAAAGCTGACGGGGTTATAACCCCCAACAAACAATTTCAATGGGGCTTTTAAGGTGTCACACACGGACTTAACCGGACATATCTATATACATATTACACTGTTCCATTATAAGATTGTTTTGACAGTTTTTATTGAAAATGCACATAATTTGAAGCATATACAATAAAATCATGGTTTCATAACGCCCCCCTGGATCTCACAAGCACATTGTAAACATTCTTACATTCCAATGATTAGCTCATCTCTTAAAAATAACATTATTTCATTTTTGTATAGTCATAGTACCTATCTTAGTTTCATGCGTTGAATGTGCAGTGAGTCAAGAATTCAACGCATTTCGCCAAAGCTTCTTCAGGAAGTTTTGAGGTAGCCTGTGACATTCTACAAGTATATACATACCTCTTACCCCTGGTTCTGCAGGCCTGTGCTGGTGCTTGTAGTCCTCCAGGCATGTGCCCTGAACCCGACTCACTCTTGCACCAGTCTGGCAGCTTTAGGCATCGGCCGACCTCTCCTGCTACTTCTTATGCAGCTTCTCGGTCCATCAGTGCAGTACGCTTGTGGCCAATCCTGTGGATCCTCCCTCTTCCTGTCTCTATTTAAACCCAGGGCAGCGGACAGCAATGCTTTCCCAAGCTAGATGCCGAGCCCCGTTTGTGATTGAACCTGAATGCATTGAAGTTTTTCCGTGTACCGACCTTTGGCTTGTCCCTGGAGATTCTTGTCTCCAGTCTGCCCTGAACTTTGACTTGTCCCTGGAAATCCCAGTCTATAGATTGTACCCGGAATTTTTCAAGAAACACAAAAATATAAACATATATATCAGGGCTCGCAAATTAACGATTCATTTCTCGATTAATCGTTAATCTTTTTGATCGATTAAACATTTTTTGATCAGTAATGAAAACACTCACCTCTCCGCCAGCTTCCGGGAGTCCCGTCGGAGATCCGGTGACGTCACAGACATCGACGTCACCAGACTCCTCCCTCCTTCCCCAAGTGGCTCCGTCGGCAAACGAAGGGAAGGGGGGAGGAGTCCGGTGACGTCAAAGTCCCAAAGTGGCTCCGTCGGCTAACGAAGGGAAAGGGGGGAGGAGTCCGGTGACGTCGATGTCCCCAAGTAGCTCCGTCGGCTAACGAAGAGAAGGGGGGAGGAATCTTGAGCCAGTGAGTTTGCCCAAGAAACTTTCTGCACGAGCGCCAGCCAAGGCATTGGCCTATACACATACAGCACAGCAATGAAGTAATAAAATGAACTAGGATCACACTAATCCAGCACGTTATTATTCTGAGTTGCCCCACTCAAGCGGCGGCCATATTGAGTGGGGCACATGAGATTAATAACGTGCTGGATTAGTGTGATCCTAGTTCATTTTATTACTTCATTGCTGTGCTGTATGTGTATAGGCCAATGTAGTTGGATCTGTATGTGCGTTATGGGTTGGGGGAGGGACAAGACCTGCAATTGTTACTCAACTGAAGTAGAGAGAAAAATGCAGGTCTACGGCTCTTCAAGACAAGAATGTGTTGTATGGCAGAGCCGTGTACTGTAAATTGCCCTTGGCGGGCAATGCAGCTCCCATATATGTATTTCACCTGTGTATTTAGCTGCTTGCCTAAAGTCCAGCTTTAATGTTACTGCTACACCAAAATAAACTTTCCATCTCCAGCATTACTTCATTCACATTTATCAGTGTGTATATACTTCCTGTACTGAAGTTGCATTCGCTTATTCTCAATACAGAGAACTGGATAAGGTCTCCATCAGTGGGAATAGACATGGCCTTCCCTGTGTAGCAGAGTCTTTGGAGACTCTAGTCTTTACCATGGAGCCCGCCAAATAATAAAGGTGTAACTCAGTGAAACTCCCCAGTCATGGCTTACCCTATAGATATTCAGTATATGTATTACGAATGTTCATTTTTGCTTCTGTTTGCACATAATGAAGGTTCACAGGGCTAATGGCTCTACAAATTGTTTATAAATAGACCCCAAAGTGTCTTAAAAGAACTATGGGGTAACTATTTTTTTGCCCATAGTTCTCCTTAGGGTCACAGGTGGACATATACTAACCTCCTCCCGTGACCCAAAGCTCAGTATATAGCGGGCTATTGCCCACTATATGCTGGGAGCGCAGAGCCGAGCTGGGGCAGATCCCGACAATACTGTCGAGATCCACCCCGCTGGCTGATTGACAGCAGACTCTGCCTATCTGGAGGAACGAAGAGGGGAGAATCCCTGCGAGGAGCGGTACCTGACAATCACTGCTCTCTGCAGGGAAAGGATTGGGAAGTCAGCGATCAGTCTCACTTCCCGATCAATAAAGATGACCTGTGACAGATTCAGTGTCACAGGTCGGCTGGAGTTATGGGGTTGAGTGATTTTCACTCATTCCATAATTCTCCTTTTAAGGAAAACTATGAGGTGAGTGCTTTTCACTCACCTCATAGTTCTAGCCGACCTGTGACAATGAAACTGTCACAGGTCGGCTCAGTAGATCGGGAGGTGAGCGAACACATACCGGCGTTCGCTCACTTCTCGATCCTGTCACGGCTCTCTGCCGTGACAGGGGAGGGACTGGATTCCCCCCTCGCCGCTCTGATCCTCCAGCGCTGACTGGCGGAACGGATGGGGGAGGGGGCGGGTACAGCTGGCTTTGTCTCTAGATAGGCAGAACCAGCTGTCACTCACGTAGCTGGGCGGATCCAGACACGCTAGTTTGTGTCCTCCCGTTACCCTAAGGAGAACTATGGGGAAAAGCCCTAACCCCATAGTTCTCCTTTAAGCTGGTCATACACTGCATGTGATTGGCTGCCAATCAGAAGCAGTCATTGTTTGGGTATTCTGACAGCCACAAGCAATACAATAGCAGGCAGGGGAGATTCCCACCCACACTCTTTAAAATGAGTAAAGAAATATGTTGGTGCCTATTTATATTTTCTAAGCTCTGCCAGTGCTTTTTAATTGTACACTAATAACACTTTTAAAAGCACCTGTCATCAAAGAAACATAAAATAATTCTCACATAATCAGAAATCCTGTCCTGTGGAACTACAAATATCAGCAGACCATGATATGTTCTCTGCTGTTTCCTAGCAGCATATTCCCCGGTGTACTGCGCCACCTACAGGAGGCGTGTGGAGGTGCAGGGAAGGGGAGCGCTCGCCGTGTCCGGGAACACGCAGCCTGCAGACACGTCACCGAAGGAACCAAGCCCCCCACCGGGCACAGATTGTCAGGACATGGCGATCAATACCAGCCAGGAGGATCAGTGGGGTGACGCTTGAGAGCGACATGTGTTAAGGGGGCAGCCATCTTACTGGAGACCGGCAATGGCTACAAGAAAATGGCCGAACTGCAGACATCAATGTGCTGATCACTAGAGGCTGGGAGATCAGTGACGACTTCCTGATAGAGAGACCATCGGATCCGGATTCCCGGGGAGTCTGTCCATTGTCTGTAAGTCAGATCTGTCCATACACAGCGAGATAATATCAGATTCTCAGATCTTCTCTGTTACAGCACTTTATAATTATATACAGATCTCTCCTATCTATAATATAGTCAGATCTAGAACAGATCCACATTATGAACACCATTGCTCTATGTGCTGGTGGTTCCAGTGTTCTCTCCCTTTGTCTCTTGCAGCCCCTCTCCTACTCCCTAAGGGGGAAATTCATCAATGTGACAGTAGATCAGTTGGTCAATGTAGATGTATTCTGCAGGGATGGGCAACTCAGGTGTTCTATCGAGATGTCCAACTTGTCGAGACCTCCAACTCCCGTCAGAGCAGTGTCACGTTCTCTAATTTGCGTTAGTGTGCCTGCGCGGGCATCTGATAGCACAAGCAGCAATGCCAGTTAGAGAACTCGAGGATTGCGAGGCAGCACAGGCGCACTTGGGGCAGTTGGGCAAGTCGACAAGGCTTGGAAAAATGCCAGGGCTGGTGCACGCTCACTAGCGTCATCTCGTCGAAATCTCCAACTGATGTGATGTTAAGAGTTGGAGATCTTGACGAGTTGGCCATTTCAACAGAACACCGGCCCTCCAGCTGTTGTAGAATTACAAATCCCATGAGGCATTGCAAGACTCTGACAGCCACATACATGTCTCCCAGAGGCAGAGGAATTATGGGATTGTAGTTAACGCACAGCTGGAGGGACAGAGTTGCCAACCACTGGCTTAAGGGGTAAGATCATCCAGAATTCATGGACAGGTGGATTTGCACTCCCATAGACTTGAAGTCAACAAAATCCCCTTGACACATTGGCCTAAGGCGCCGTTCACACCGGAGCGAGTTAAAGCTTCACCAAAAGCCCTTTAAAGTGGACCTTTACTCTCAAAAATCATATTCTACCATTGCATCCCTCTATGTATGATGATTCATAATAACATAGATATGTCAGGTGTAAAATGCTGGGGTTCTGAAATACTTACACTTGCAGAGCATTCACTTCCTGCTTTGAAAGGGCAAAATGACTTCAGTTTGCCCAAGCATTGCATCCTGGGAAGGTTACATCAGCAGAGCATTGCTGAGAAATCTCATCTCAGGGAAAAGCATTTTCCTCCACTGAGATGATGTGCATGGTCACATGTGCCAGAAATCCAGGAAGTGAAAGGAGAGCTAGTAATCTGCCCTCAGTAAACATGGCCACCGTGAGAAGACTGGGAAAGAAAAGAGAAGTACGCTATGCAAAGAATACAAAGCCGGCAATTATCTAGAAGTATCTGTGTGTAGATTGTCATTACTAAACATTTCTAAAGGTGTGTTTGTTGTTATTTTAAAGATACGGGTAAAGGTCCTCTTTAACACCCGGCACTGGGATTTCCATTCAATGGTGCCAGTGCACACCTGCTTGAGGCTTGTCATTCGGAAAAGTTAAACGTTTTATTTCCTAGTAGCTAGCTTTGCGCTGGCTGAAAATATTTTAATGAATGCGTGCAAAACCGCTCAAAAAACGAGCAAAGGCGCTCAGCTCGAGTGTGAATGGGACCGAAGGGTGCCCATCTTTCCTATCAGAATATGTAAATGCTTTGATGTGCATAGTCAGGGCTCAGGTACAGGGAATCAGTTTGGCAGGTAAGCCTGTCATAATGTGCTAATGTGCTGCGCATACTAATACATTACGGCTAAAAGCCGGGGAGCGATTTTATTATTTTTAGTTGCTTTCTGCTTTAACAGTACACATAGAAAACAATTGTTTCCTTTGTGCATTGAGCCACCCCTGATCTATGCAGAACATCGCAGCTCAGCTGAGCCCTAAGTGTCATTCATTCAGCTAAAGACAGATGCTATCTGAAATAATTATATGTCCCCTTCAAAGCATTTGTATTTACAGTCCTGAGTCCTATGCTGTCCTTAGATATACACAGCTCTGCCACCCAGCACAGCCCTGTGTGTGTGTGTGTGTGTGGGGGGGGGGGGGGGGGGGGGGGGGCGCTCGCGTTGGTTGGGCCTGAACTTTCTCTGCTGCAGTGCAATAACCCTTACTCCTCCCTACCCTATGACTGGATAGTGAAAGGAGAAGTAACACTGTAATGAGTTCATCTGTCTGTCACAGTTCCCATGTGTGTGTTTAGCTGTTTGCCATGAGATTAGCTATATCTCTTCACTTCCTGGAACTCTGGCTTCAGCTTTGAAGAGGAACTTTACCCATATCTTTAAAATAACAACAAACACACCTTTAGAAATGTTTAGTGATGGCAATCTACACACAGATACTCCTAGATAATTGCCGGCTTATTATTCTTTACATACCATATTTTTCTTTCCCCCCCCAGTCTTCTCACAGTGGCCATTTTTACTAAAGGTAAGATGAATCCATCTCCCTTTACCTCCTGGAACTCTGGCACACGTGAATAGGACATGTGACCACACGCATCATCTCAAGGGAGGAAAATGCCGTTCCCTGAGATTTTGTGAGATTACAGATGAGATTTGCCAGCAATGCTCTGCTGATGTAACCTTCACCTAA